TGTTAAATGCAGAAACCATCACCTCGAAACAGATACCAACTAATATGTATCTGTGAATTTAAAAAAAAAAAGTTTATATAAAACTGTGTTCCTGAACGTAGACCGAATGTATGTTCAGCCAGAGAAAAAAAACCTGCAGCATTTGTAATTAGCTCATGGATAAATTAGTCAAATAAGTGAAGACCATTTCTATGGAAAGAAATAAAAATCTCCTAAGCCATTATCCAGTTGTTATGTGGAGTGTTGCTGAGACAATATAACACATCCTCTGAAATGCTTCGTTCAGTTTTTCTGCGATCTGTCGTATCTTTATTGTTTTCTTAGTCGAGAAGACATTCATGTCTGTTTTCGCTTGTTTCTTAGTGTTTCTAGTTCATGTCAAGTGAAATGTGAGTTTTGTAATGGGAGATTCCTTCCTGTTTGGTCAGGCATCAAAATACTTACATATCAGCGAAACAGTAATCTGAAAAATCATCGACTGACACGCTGGCATGTTTAAATGAAGCAAACATTCAGACCTATGTTTAGATACATTATAAATGTCTACCCGCTGCCTGATTTCTAAAATCATCAAATATAGGTGATTGCAAACGCTCCAATAACACTATTTTTATTGAGAATCTTTTTACTTTTTTTCTATTTACATTATTCTGACTATTGTTCTCATCTTTGTCGTCATGTTTATGTAAACGTTTCGGCCGTTGTACGCTCTTGCCTTCTTCACGTGGTTGGAATGTCGAACTCAACCCTTTATTTCACTCACTGGGGTAGACTGTTCTAGTTCCACGTGCCATGTCTAATGGATGTCAGTTATCTCCTGTTAATTCCGCTCTCAAAGATCACACACGCCTTAACCAGGTATTGAACTCACACTCTTTGGGTTCTGTCACTGGATTTAACCAACGCCTTTTCCACTGTCCCGGATGATATCTGTCTTTGAATTTCTGCGTATTATAACTCTAATGTATTCAGCAAACATTTTTTTTTACCAGTGTTCATATTGCAATTTTTGCTGTTATCATTTATGTTTTTTTACCAGAGCTCATTTTGCAATATTTTTGTTATTATCTCTTTTCTCTGACACTCCTTATTACTGATTCCCATATTGTATTAATTTCTATGCTTGGTCGCCTCAGGAGATTCTTGTGGTCTAGCATATGAGCTGATTCCTTATATAAACACATAGATAATTTTTAGTTCTCTCACACTACACTATTTTCTGGCGTCTTTATCCATCTGAATTTAGAAAATTGGATTTTTGATACTATATATATATATATATATATATATATATATATATATATTAAGGCATTAAAAACTAGAAATGTAGTATTGTAGGCCATGATAAGTTTAAAATAAAACACAACAGTCGACCGGTTTCGTCCCTCTCGTCAGAACTGTTAACGGGGAATTTAGATTATGAGGAAAAGAACAAGTCTGTCATGGCTGACATGAATGAATGGACAGGAAGGAAAAAGAAAAAAATATATATATATAAAATTATACCAACCAAGCTGCTAGAATCGCATCACAGCAAGTCCAAGCAAACAATCTCTCTGTTTGCAAAGAGAAGGCTGCCTAGACCTGATGTAACGCGACTCCAGCACCTTAAGATGGAAAAGTGAGTGCGAACTGGCCAAGACGGAAAACATGGGCGACGCTTTCATAACGTATTCCTAAAAGTTTGTGATTATTTTGAAATGAAAAAGAAAATGAAAAGAATTCTATTAGGTTCTAAAATTCTTATGTGTATGCTTGTCGAGCATCAATCTCGCTAAAAAAGGGGAAATATTAAAGAAACCAGGTCTAGTATTCACCGTGCGTGAGATGGATATTATACCTGCTTCATAAATCCTCCTGAGATTTTTATTATGAAAATATTTTAATACTTTCACGGAATCGAAATCGAAATTATGATCTGCTTTAGTTGTGTGTACAAAGCATGTGACGACGGCGTGACCATGTTAGACGGAAGGCTGATCATTTTAAAAATTTTCAGTTATCTGTTCTTAATAAGACTTGTGTTTTTATGTCCATCGTATTTGTCATATTGAACTGAATTGTATTTTGATGAATATTGTCTTGAAAAAGGTTTATTAAACCGAAACGTCAGACGTCGACATTTCTTTCATTTTAACTACATTTAAGGATTTTTGTTTGTTTTTTCAAAATTTCTTCATTCTGTCGGATTTATATCCATTTACACTTGTTTATATATATATATATATATATATATATATATATATATATATATATATATATATATAAGATGTTACTTTGCGTATAAAATATACCTGAATAATATTGATACACGTACACATCCATCCACAAGAAAAAAAATATGATCTACTAAGATTTTATTATTTTTATTTATTTATTCAGAATTAGATTTGATGATAATTATTTGCTGATTTAGAGTTAGCAAAATTAGTCTTAGACGTGAACTGATGCCAAATAAGCCATAATTAATATTAATTGATTATTTTATTTCCATAATTATCATTGACATTTGTATAAATTATTCGACGTGGCCAAATAGTATTTATTGAAATATGTTTAGCACAGATAAATGCAAATAGGATTTTGACTGTCATATTCAATATGTCTTTTGCATCTCCCAACTTATATTGCAATCCTTTCTTTTATGGAGACTCCTTTTATTTATTTATTTTTCTTTCAGATTTCTTGGTTTCCGTTAATGAAAAAAATTCTTCAATTCGTAAATAGGATTTCAGTCAATAGAGAGAAATATTTCATTAATTTAAACTAAATCTTCAAAAGACGTATTTTAATGAAAATTTCGAAATAGACCAGCTGCGAATAACCGTTGGATAGCTGAGTCGTAAATGATTTTTTTTCTTTCTCCAGATTGTCTAATTCTTTAATCAATTTAATTGTCTTGTTTTATGTATCAGAAATGTTTATTATGTAAAATTAAAATTTTGAGGTCTTTTTTGTACATGCATGCATCCGGAATACTATTTTAAATTGCGTTGTCTTCAATTTCAACTTAATGACGCTGGGAAAATCCTGAACCCATACTTTCCCTACAGACACGGGTTAAATAACGTTCTTTGAAATGACGATTCTATATAAAGATAGCGGAGAAGTCAACGTTAAGTGTTCTACAATATTTTCCAAGAAACCTTGATGATTCGCCATTAATAATGAAAATAATACTTATGGGAATCATAATACCATTCGTCGTTATAGGGCATAAACTTAGAACCGGCTTCTAATATTATTTTAAACCTACAAAATCCTATAGTGAGTTACACATATGGTTCAATTTTAGCTGTTGTTTTGACCTGATTCACAGCTAAATTTACTTCTTTGCTGGCGAATGAATACATGACAAATTTATGATTGTTATTTGTGGAAATAATTTTCTGATATTATATCCATCCAAAAACAAAAAGGTTTTATGATGTGGACTAGATAACTGTCAACAAATCTCTTCGGAAATATTCATTTAAAATTTTAAATATTCTTCAGACCGTTTTGTAATGTTTTATTTGCTATCGCATGTACAGAAATTGCCTGAAACCAACACATTGCTGATTCTCTATACAATTGCTTAATTCTCCTTCGGAGCGATGGAACTGGCACAAAGCTTTTGGATTCGGTTGCATACTAAAATATTCTCTAAGACACGCATATCCATCTACTGTTTTTTTTAGATTTGGAAGATTTTTACTAAATGATTTTAAAAAAATGTATACACAAAGTTACATACAAAATCAAGCAAATGGTCATAAAAATACAAGAATATTTATTTGCATTTATACTTTTAGTATTAATGTAAATATGCTTTATTATTTCAAGTTCCATCTGAATCAGGTTCTTAGAATCCAATGAGATCAGTGGCCCTATCTCATATCATGAACTTATAAAATATAAAATAAAGGAACATCGAATATTAGGAAATCACTCATGTCATATTAATTATATACTAAGGAATGTCAGTCAATTTATTGATAGAGTGCCATTAAACACTAACAAGGAGGGTTCATTTGTCGTAAATAAGGCAAACAAAATAAATAGAAAAGTGTCGAATAATTTTAAGAACACATACCGTGTATATTTCTCACTTCACATTGAGATTTATGTAATAAATTCTTTCTTTAGACGCAAAGAAACAAGAGAAAGTTAAACACTAGCTGAAATATATTCAGCAACGTCACTTAATTGTTGGCGTGGCCAAAACAATATATATATGTCAGAAACAACAATGTAAACGAGTCGAAATCAATTGACCAATTAACTGCGGATGCTTTGTTAATGTAGATTTATATTAAAGACTTGTGGTATACAGAAAAGATTCGACACAGAGACGAATTCTAAACTAGACATTACTCAAGTAATGATTACGATTATTTTCATTAATATTTTTCAGCTCTTCGACGCGACGAGAGGAACAATTTTTATATTAAGCTCTAATGATAAGTCACATTTGGGTCGAAGTATTGCTATTCCCGGATTGTTTTCAACAGGATTCTTTCAAGGTTTTCGATAGAAGGATTTCTACGAAGACTTATAATTCCATGAATCTATGAACCGAAATATCATTTCGGTCTATCGTGAAATAGACAGACGCAAGAAATGCATTTTCTGAAGAATGGTGTAAATCCATAATAGGTTGCATAAAATGAAAAAAATATTTGTTTGTTCTTTGTGTCTGTAATCAAAAGATGTAGATATTTAACAATCCTTGTAGAAATGTAAAAATAGCGTTGGGAATTTTCTAAAACTGGACTTTTTTTCTTATGGGATATCCGATCCTTTTGTGCGATGTTTCAATCCATAACAAAAACGCTATAATTAGCTGAGGTTCAGTCAATGGGGAGACCGCATTTGGAATTGTGTAACTGAAACAGAAATTAGACAACTTGCCAGAGTTCTATGTCTAAGTATTTTTCAGATAAATTAAAGAAAAGATAAGGAAAAAATTGGTTCGTTAAAATAACAAGACATGAAAAGATATGAGAAGAATGTTAAATCTATTTCTTCTCATATTGTATAATTTTAAACAGTACATATAGAACGAAGGAAACGGGTATAGAACGAAGGAAACGAATTTCGAGAGAAGAAGACGGATATAGAACGAAGTAAACAGATATAGAACGAAGAAAACGAATATAGAACAAAGAAAACACATAGAAAGAAAAAAACGGATATAGAACGAAGAAGAATGGATATAGGACGAAGAAAACGCATATATAACAAAGAAAACGGATATAGAACGAAGAAGAATGGATATAGGAAGAAAACGCATATATAACAAAGAAAACGGATATAGAACGAAGAAGAATGGATATAGGACGAAGAAAACGCATATATAACAAAGAAAACGGATATAGAACGAAGAAGAATGGATATAGGACGAAGAAAACGCATATATAACAAAGAAAACGGATATAGAACGAAGAAGAATGGATATAGGACGAAGAAAACGCATATATAACAAAGAAAACGGATATAGAACGAAGAAGAATGGATATAGGACGAAGAAAACGCATATATAACAAAACGGATATAGAACGAAGAAGAATGGATATGGGACGAAGAAAAATATAACAAAGAAAACGGATATAGAACGAAGAAGAATGGATATAGGACGAAGAAAACGCATATATAACAAAGAAAACGGATATAGAACGAAGAAGAATGGATATAGGACGAAGAAAACGCATATATAACAAAGAAAACGGATATAGAACGAAGAAGAATGGATATAGGACGAAGAAAACGCATATATAACAAAGAAAACGGATATAGAACGAAGAAGAATGGATATAGGACGAAGAAAACGCATATATAACAAAGAAAACGTATATAGAACGAAGAAGAATGGATATAGGACGAAGAAAACGCATATATAACAAAGAAAACGGATATAGAACGAAGATAAATATATAGAATGAAGAAATCTAAAATAGGTAAAGCAAATTCACAGCAAATCAGAATAAGAAATTAAAAAAAAACTCTGCGAAGAAACCGAAGGATATAAATAATTTATTAAATTCATAAAAATATGAAAAATGCCCTTAGATTGAGTGAGGAACCACCCACAAGACAAAATGTTTACGAAAAAAAGAAGAAAAACCTATATATATGTATATGTATACATATATATATACATATATATGTATATATATGTATTTCTATGTTTTTTATATTTTCTTTTATAAAAATGTCTTATATATTTCGTCTTTTCCTATCTATTATTAAATTCTGTACCACAGAAAAATTATTAATTTATAAATTTGTGTGTGTGTAAAATAAAGAAGTAACAGATATTTTATTTATTAATACGGGAGATTTTATAACTTTTAAAGTTATTTTATTGGATAGGTAATTGTAATTATTTATTAAAATCTATTTTCATTTATTTTCTTCTACTGGCCTGAATATTTGAGAAATTATATTAAAGGCAAATATATGATCTCTGGCAGAATTCGAAACTTCGTCCTCCTAGGCAAAATTGACAGCCGTTTGATCCTACGGACCCTAACCGATTCGGCAATGATGAAACTATGCCGATCAAGTAATGTTGAATACTGACATTAAGAGAAATACATACCGTCATAGATTTTTGAAAGTTCATATCTGCTCACTTTAAGAAGTAATGTTTTTTTTTATTAATTCGGCAGATTATATCACTGCAGTAGAGTGCATAATTTTACTTTTTATATTAAAGCCGATAGTCGAAAATGAATAAATATACATTTAATAAATAAATAAACGTCCACTCAAATTAGTAACCACTTACAGTGAAATTATAAAATACATACATACACCCACATAACAAGAAATATATATATATATATATATATATATATATATAAATAATATATATATATATATATACGTGTGTATATATATATATATATAATATATATATATATATGTATATATATATATATATATAATATATATATATATGTGTGTATATATATATATATATATATATATATATATATATATATATATATATATATATATATATATATATATATATATATATATATATATATATATATATGTATATATTTATTTGAATAAAAACAGATCACTTTAAGGTTCCATGCAATAAGTTACTTCACCACAACCCTTTTAAAGGATCTGGATCATCAGACTTTCTTCAAAAGTTGAAACAAAAAATGAAAAGAGACTTCATTTTTGACAAACAAGCGTATGTGAAATAAACGAAGTGAGTAAGTGAGGTGGGGAGAGAAGATATGAGTGTGTTAGATGTATCATTTTCAATTCCTTATCCTTAACCCCGTCTGTGTAGGCTAGACGTCTAACTTAACGCATGCTATCTGATATAAATGGGTAAGGGGGTGATGGAGAAGAGACTTAAATATTTAACAATAAAATAATAAATCATGCCCCTGAGATCAGGATTCACTCAAATTCTTAGACGCTGTTATTGAAGCATTACTTTAAAGGGTATATTTGGGGTTAAAGTTTGATATAGATTAAATGTCTAAAAATCTACGATGAATTTAATTTGAAGTTTGTTGGAGTTTTAATTTTTTCTATGAAATAGTCGTTTGAAAAATCATAGAAAGTATATTGAAAGAATAATCCATTTTATATCTAGTAATCCTTTTATTTTCCTAAATGTTTTTTATATAGCGTATGACAACGTATAGTTGACATCTATTCGTTTGATTCTTGTTCATAAATTAAAGTCTTTACTGTTTTTAGATGCCTAAATAACAAGGTTTATTCAATTCAAATAAATTCAATATATATATATATATATATATATATATATATATATATATATATATATATATATACATACTGTGTGTGTGTGGTCCGAGTTTTACCACTATATATATTGTTACGAACTTTCATATAGATGAACCCGGTTCTAAAAAAAGGAAAACGTGGTTTCTTTTTCTCGGTCTTCACTCAGAAATGGAAGCGACACAAGGAATCAACGAAGAACAGACACAAGACGATGGCTTTCAAAATTAAACATTTATTTATAAATATATATAGAAACAAAAGAAAAAAAAAGAACATTCATTTAACAAAGGGGAGGACATCAGTAAAGAATAGAAGGCGCGAGCGAATACATACATATATGAAAATAGATCGAGCCAAAAGAACCAACTTATCTCCTTGCAGTCGGGCTGGTATCTTCAAAGTTTTGATTTCAGGTTCTGATGATAAATCAGTATCTTGGCCGGCCGACAATGTTCCTGGATTCTTCTTCTTTTCGCAAGTGTTCAATCACTGGTCGATAGACTTCGTTTTCCTCATCTTGGGCGGTCTGACGATTTTTTGCCCAGCGATGTTCAACTGCCGCTGGTGGAAACTGAAAATCCTTCTTTGGTTTTCGCTGTCCCCACAGACAGACGTGGGTTCCTTCGTCCTGACCACGCAGGAGAATAGGGCGCAAATCACGCAGTGTTTGTGTGATGGCCAAAAAGTTCAACGCATGCTCCGTACGTCCCGATCACGTGAATTGCAGGCAATGGTTCATCATTCATGGAAGGTGGCCTTTTTTCATCCCAAAAGGCATCACGCGGTATTGAACAGGCCATCCGGATCGCGAATGCAGATAATATCAGGACACCAATAACCCTTCAACAAATGCTTCGATAGCCTTGCCTACTTTATCAAATCGTCCATCCTGGGAAAAAAAAGTTCACCTTTCGGTAGTCGGTGCAAAACCGAATGAGCCGTCATTTTTGTCCATAGCACGCAGGGGAGGACCAACTGTTTTGGCTACGCTCGATAATGCCGTTCTAATTACAGGCTATTTCTCCACGTAGGATTTCGGCTTTCCGTGGGTTGACTTATAAGGATGCTGTTTAATGGGGTGGCATTTACTTCCACATCATGATAAGTAACGGTGGTTTGGTTGGGTACGTCAGGAACAGGCCCCTGAAATCCTCGATAAGGATTCTTTCCTCTCCTCAAGGGCTAAATGCGACAGCTTCGCACTTAGGTATATACCTATAGTTGTAAAGTTTGGTATATGGTCACCCTTTCCATAACTTCTCCTCGGATCTCCGTGGGCTCGGGCATAGTGTTAGGCCCACTGATTACTAACATAGGTCGGTCTTTTCCCCTGTTGATAGTAAGGCTTAACATGTTAATGTGACACACCTGCGTCGAGTTCCTATAGGGGTTATACGACGTAGTTGAGGTCACCGGCCTTCCTGACCACTTCATACGGGCCATGGAATCGAGCTTTGAGGATGTCCGGGCAAGGGTATAACACTAGTACTTTATCCCCGACACTGAAATTTCGTTCGACTGTGTCTCGGTCGTATCGATCTTTCATTTTATGCTGAACCGACCGGAGGTTCTCGCGGGGCCAGTTACATGCTTCTGCTAGTCGGGTTCGAAACATGAAACATATTCCAGCAAATTTTCTGTTACTGGGTCTTCCCGCAACAAACCTTCCCTCAGTACCTTTAAAGGACCGCGGACTGAATGTCCAAATATTAATTCAAATGGGCTGAACCCCAACGATTCCTGTATGGATTCGCGAGCGGCGAACATTAGGAATGGGATACCTTCGTCCCAATCGTTTGGTGGTCCAGGCAATATGTTCTCATCATGCTCTATAGGTGGAGTGGAACCTTCCAAGGCACCCTTGGGACTGGGGGTGATAGGCGCTTGACTTAATGGATTTTATACCCAAACTTCTCGTAACTTGTTGAAACACCCTGACATGAAGTTGGATCCCTGGTCTGACTGTATCACCCTGGGTAAGCCGACCATGGTGAAAAAAAAAACAAGGGCCTTTACTATTTTCCTGGCGGATAGATTTTATGGGTATCTCTTCGGGAAACCTGGTCGAGGCGCACATGATCGTTAGCAGGTATTGGTTCCCTAACTTAGTTTTGGGTAACGGACCAACACAGTCTACGATAATGCGACAAAATGGCCTCGAAGGCAGGAATGGGATGTAGGGGTGCGATGGGGATTTTCTGGTTTTATTTTCTTCCGGCAATGCTGACACGTCCCTTCGGACCCGGCCAGTAAAAGTATCTGACGATCTTATCGTGCGTCTTATTAAAAGGTGAAATGGGATCTCATGAGCTGTCCTCTGACCTGTCTGTACCGTTTAGGGAGTACTATTTGGTGGACTGTCGACCAGTCTTCTGAGGCGGAGATGTGCGGGGTCTCCACTTCCTCATTAGTATCTCATTCTTAATAAAGTATCCAGTTGGAACTTTCTCCAACTCATCCTCGGCAATAATGACGGAAGAGTGGGGTGAGCTCAGAATCACTCCCCTGCTCTGTTATAAGTGCTCTCCTCGATAATGGAATGTCCATAGCGGGCTCAACAATACCATCGCTATTTCCAGTTGGGTTATTATCGGAGGATAATTTAATCCCACATCAGGATTTTAAACGTCTGCGATAGGTCTATCATTCGTCTTCTGTCCTATCGATTATCTCGTTTATCTTTTCATCGGCCTTCTTTCTGGCCTGTGCTCTGGTCACTGCACACGAGGGAAATATATCGAGATTCTCTTCCTCGATATCTTCGGTGTCTATCAACTGTTCAGAACTACTTTAGGGTGGGGTATCACCCTACCACCCGCCAATTCGTTTCCTAACAGCATGGATATGCCTTTCATAGGCAAACTAGAACTACTCCGACCTCGACAGGGCCAAAACCAACCCAGATTGGATTCGATGAAGGGAATAACAAAGTTGCTGTTAACACCCTGTATGATAACAAATTCGCCAGTGGCCGAATCCGATCCACACGGCACGAAGCTCTCCACAATCAGGGACTGAGTGGCCCCAGTGTCCCGCAAGATCTTCACGATTTCTTCTTCGTGGGGTTATCAACGGGGGATACAGCACCATTAGACACAAAATGGCCTATACT